AGGGGGCAGATGCTCAATGCAGGAGCTGCCCCCTGGTGGTCAGTGCGCTCCCACAGGGGGAGCTCTGCTCAGCCACATGCAATGATGCACACTGACCACCAGGGGGCAGATGCTCAATGCAGGAGCTGCCCCCTGGGGATCAGTGCGCTCCCACAGACCAACCTCCCACAGCTGGCCAACCTCCCACGGTCCCTCCCCCCCGCCGGCCAACCCTGATCTCTGACCAGGCCAAGGGACCCCACCCATGCAAGGATTTGTGCACTGAGCCTCTAGTTGTCTTAATAAAGAATGACATCAGTAGAATTTGAAGGGATTATATTAAGTTAAATAAGTCAGACAAAAAAAGATAAATACCCCAACATCTCACTTATATGTGGAATTTAAAAAAGAAAACAAAACAAAAAACTTCCAAACTCATGAATGTAGAGAAGAGGTGTAAAGAAGCAATGCTTTCTGTTTAATGTGGAGACCAGGGGAGCAGGTCCCCCTCTCAAGGTAAAAAATAGTCTAGGTCACAACTGTTAAATTGAGACTTAGTACCAAAATCTAAATAAAAGAATTTATAGAAAGAAAAGGAAATCCATTATTTCAGTTCTGTAAAAAAAAAAAAACTCTCATTTTTCTATCACTAACAAGTCTTATTTAAATCCATGAATTTCAAACACTCAATTATTTTAAACATAAAAATAAAAGGAATATAATCAAAGCAAATTATGTTAATTTATTGTGGTACATTTCTTTGATAAGTTTATTTATTTTGTGCTCTTTGAGTATTTTGATATTACATCAGGATGGAGCAGGAAACACCTGTAATTTAGATTGATTGTCAGTATTTTATTTTACTTTATTTTTTTTTCAAACTAAAGAACTGGGAAGAGTGACTTATTACATTTAAAAATTATTGGAAAAAGTTACATTTCATAATGCAGGTGCTCTGGGTGGCTCATCTGTCACTCTTTCTGCTAAGTGTAATCCAAGAGGCCACTGGGGGGACATCTAGAACACCATGGACTTTGGTGCCACCAGGATAACTGTGCTGCTCCATATCATGAATCGTTGTGACAAACCCAAGAAACAGGCTCCCTGATCTCTGAAGAACTAACTCAAGTAGCTTCTTGGACCAAGTCCAACTGGCTGAAGTTCAGCACAGATAAAACAAAAAAGAACCTAACTGAAAGGAAGAGAAACTGGCAATCTGACAAGTAATCTAATATCAAGTCTTTTTTAGGGCCCCATTGTCAGGCTGGTGAGTAATTTTGTGGTAAATAGCCATTTACAGAATCCCAAAGGAATGCATTGGTGAAAAATGCATTCTTATACCTGGAATTCATCAGGAAAACAAGATCCAGACATGAAATGTGATTCTAAAAAACATTGTCTACAATTTACTCAATAAGCACTCTGACTGGCTTAAAGTGGAAACATACAGATAACAGGCATGTTATCACCAAGTAAAACCTCATAAAGCATGCAACTTGGGCTGTGTAGAAAGCAATCAAGTACAACCTCTTAGGGAAGTAAAGACTGCAAGGGTCAGAAGTCCTGCCTTTGCCTCTAAACTGTGTGAATTTAGACTTAGCTCCTCTACTTCTCTCTTTTTCTTCTTCTTCTTTTGAAAAGTTCCAATATAGCAAAGATTATAGAAAGATTACATATATATTGAGTGGCCAGATTATTATGACCACCTGATATTTGTAGGCAAATTAGCTGTACACTGCATTGTATGGGATATGGAAGCCGAAGCCCTGTTCGAACACCCTTGCTGTCTGCAGTTACCAAGATAAAACGTCTCCAATTCGCACAGGAACACAAGGATTGGACAGTAGAGCATTGGAAAAAAGTCATGTGGTCCAATGAATCACGTTTCCAGTTGCATCATGCAGATGGCAGAGTGAGAATTTGGCGGAAACATGCACCCCACATGCATGAGTATAACCCTTCAAGCTGGTGGGGGCAGTGTTATGTTTTCCTGGCATGATGTGGGCCCTTTAATTCGTGTGGAACAATGTCTGAATAGCACAACATACCTAAGTATCTGGACAGTGCTATTCACCAGGCAGGTGTCCGATTCCTCGCATCACCTTTCAGCATCTCGTGGAGTCAATGCCAGGAAGAATCGCCGCAGTATTGAAGGCAAAAGGTGGCCCAACGAAGTACAGAGGGGTGGTCATAATAATCTGGCCACTCAGTGTATATCTTACTTAGGTTTATCCAATCTTAACATTTGGATTCATTTTTTTTCAGATTGTTTTAAAAGATATAAAACAGCACAGACAGTTAAAGTCCTATGAAATTCTCACCCTCCATCCCATCCCATTCTCTCCATTTCCCCATAGAAGTAACTATTAATCTGATTTTTGCTGTCAACCATTCCCATGACTGTTATTAAACCTCTAGATCATAGGTACAGATCCATAAACACTATTTAGCATTGTGTTGTGTGTTTGTAAATTTTGTATAGATGATATTTATATGTACATACAAGAGTCAGCACTAATGAAAGGGTTAAGAGCAGGCACCCTGGAGCCTCACTGTCTAGGTTCAAATAGTGGTTATGTTACTTCCTTCTTGTGGGTCTTAGGCAGATTACTTAACCTCTCTGTGCCTCCATTTCCCTACTTATTAAACAAGGAACATAAAGGAACCTACCTTGTAAGATGTCATGAAGGTTAGATGTATTGACATCTGGGGAGGACTTGGAACAGTAACTGGTACACACTAAGCACTGTATAAGTGTTATCTGCAACTATTTAAATGTTTTTATAGCATTCGTTATATGAATGTATTCCAATTGATATGTCTAACCTCCCTTTAAATAATGTTGTAATCTTCAATTGAGGAGGATATGTTTATTGATTTGAGAGAGAAAGAGGGGGGGGAGAGAGAGAAAGAGAGAGAGAGAGAGAGAGAGAGAGAGAGAGAGAGAGAGAGAGAATATCGACATGAGAGAAGATGGGTTGCCCCCATACTGCCCTGACCAGGCATTGAACCTGCAACCTCCGTATGTGCCCTGACTGGAATCAAACCTGCAACATTTGTAGTATACGGACGATGCTCCAACCAACTGTGCAGCCTGGCCAGGTCTATATCTAACTTCCTTTTGATGAACATTTAGGTTGTTTCTTTTTAAATCATTATTATAAAGATTCTTCAACATGTCTCCTTGTGGATATGTGGACAATTTTCTCTAGTGGCTATGCCTAAGAATGAAATGTCTGTGTTTTAGGTGAGCTCAACTTTGTGCTGTAGCAGATATTGCCACATCATTGTACAACATACAGTAAAAATTCCCACTCTCAAAATTCCTAATAGCCTTTGTTCTCACCAGTTTTAGTGTTGCCTGATCATCATCTTGTATTTATAACATGAGAAGGAGTGAACTAGATAATTTCCCGGGTCTTTCTGCACTTTCTATATTCTCTGATTCCCTTTCTGTGAATTTCCTACTCTCTCCCTTCAGCTAGAGACAAACTAATCCAGTGAATAGTGAATTATTTTATTTGAGTCTAGAAGCCTATTGTTGGGTATTTTTAAATTCTTAAGTCTAAAAACTAGGACATCCAATAATACAATTTCATTAGTGGTGAGGGAAAATATCACCTAAACTGGCAGTGTCCTAGCCAGGCATACTTCCAACGCTGCTGATATAAGTCAGTGGTTTTCAAACTTTTTAAAACAATGGACTTTTAAATATATATAAATTGAATCACAATATAATTGCTGCTTGCTCCTTCCTCCCCGCCCCTTTTTTTCCTCTAATACACATCTTACACATTTTTAAAAGCTTCCTGTAATATAATTATCATGATTGCCTTGGTGAGCTTCCTGAAATTAAGAACTATTAAAATGCTTCAATTTACCTTGCATTTTAAATTCTACTTGACCATATTTTTATTTAAGGCTGGTACATATTTGGGTATACTAAAATCTTTTAGAAATATCCACTTTAGACAAAAAAAAAAAAAAGTACCCATTATTGCCGAAGAGCTCTGATTTTACTACCTATAATTTCTATGGAGAAAAATATTTAGCTTCAGGCTTTGAAGGTAATCATTGTAGACCAACATTGCCACCTAATGGTAAAAAGCCTAATCACAACATATTTCAAGTTGGTTTTAAAAAAAATACATATGCAAAACTCTGCGCACTCTCTTCCTATGAGGACCTGACATGATGGTAGAGCCGGGGGACACTCATCAGACACACTGGCAAGATTGGTGATGGGTTTCTGCTCCCTCGCTATCTGGCTCCCGTGAGTCCCAGCATTCTCTCTCTCATCTCCCAGATGCAATTATTAAGATCTCCAAACTCCGGCCAGCCCTCCCTTGTCCTTATGCCAAGCCTATCCTAGTCTTAATATATTAAGAAGCTAGTTCTAGACAAACATTTGGAGACTGGAATCAGCCTGGAATATGGCTGGTCTCTGGATTTCTAAAAGGTGAGCTCCTGCATTGGCAGCCACATGTGCCCGGGTCAGCACCTCACCCTGGGACTCCCCAAAGCCACATGCTTTCTGTCTTTTTACAATATTCCCTAAGGAAGCTGAAACCCAGTTGTGAACATCTGAATTGCCCTCCAGGTATCTAAACTGGAGCCCTCACCACCAACTGTCAAAGTCTCTACTTGGGAAAGTTGTGAGAAAAGAATTGGCTAAACCCTACTTACCCCAAGTCTTTAGTAAACCAGGAATCTGCCACCATCCAATTCGAGCAAAGCAAGACTCACAGAGCTTTGCGTCAAAGGTCATCAAGTCAGAGCCCTAGGCTATGTCTCCAGCCCAGATCAGACCCAAAGTGCCCACTCCTGGATGCTGTGATTGGGGTTGCTTCTCCAGGTATGTAACCCTCACTCATTTCCTGTCTTTCCACATCTGCCTGGCATGAGTAGCCAGCAAACTTCTTTACGGTTAGAGGTTTGTATGACAGGCAAGAAACAGCACAAAGAAAAGAATAAAATGCAGCTGAAGCAAAGGAATGATAAGAATCAGAAAGAAAAAAGAGAAAAAGGAGCACCTGTCTCAGGCAGAAGCCATGTTGCATATTATCTACGGCCCTCCCACTCCAGGACTAGCCACTTCTACAGTAAAGAAATTCTTGCCAGCTGTTATTGAAGAGACAGGCAAAATGTAGAAGGGAAACTTAAGGCTGCAAAGACATATGTATATAGTTCAATGGGTATTCTGTAGGCAGAGAAGAATAAATTCTATCATTGACCTACACTGATTGGAGTTCATATAAATATCCGGTATGTCAAATTAACACAGAACTACATTAAATCATGTTACTTTAGGCGGGGATAGAAATCTTTTATTAATTCCTATAATCTGTATTAGGAAGAATATTTTGAAACATGGCTGGGTTTATCTTCTATGGCCACATGCTTGTCTTACTTGTCTCTTTTCTAGAGCCATCCTCCCATTTACTCCTTCCTGGTTCTCTAGATAGGTGCTTCTCAAGCTTTAATGTGGGTATTAATCAACTAAAAGTCTTGCTAAAATGCAGTTTTGGACACAGTGGGCAGGCCTGAGATTCTGAGTTTTTAAGAAGCTCCCAGGTGATGCCCATGCTGATCCATTGAACTCCCAGGTTTCCTTGTCAAACATTACAACAACTTCCTTTGTTAATCACCCAGCAATATCATTACCTTTATCTCTTCTGTTGATCAGTCAGAGAAGGATAGTAGCTACTACTGTTAGGCCTTAAATAACCAGAAAAATTTTTTAAATTTATTATTTAAAAATCTTACAAAATGTTTTAATTTTAATGTTCTGTTTTTATATATAACATTTATGCATATATTTGTACAGTAAAGTCTGATTTGTAATTCTTTTATCAGTAAGAAATTTCTCTCAACCAATCTTTCTAAGCCTAGAGTATGACAATTAATATCCTTAAAATGATCCTGAAGCTCTATAAGATCCTAAACTCCCTACTAAATTATTAAATAAAGAATAGTCACTATAGTTTGAGAATTTATTTTTCTTTATTGCATTCTTACTCTTTTTAAGTTGTATTCTGAACATGATGTGCATGGTTCTTCCCAGTTACTCCTCAACCATGTAAATTGCCTGAAAGTGAGGGACACTTGTTCCCTTTTATAAATATTGTTACACGAAGGGAGCCTATGTGGGGGGGAATCAAAAGATGTAGATACTGACAAGTTAATCAGTTATATCTTTGCACACTGTCCATAGTGGAAAATCCCAAGATACAATGATTCTTTAATCACAGTACCTTACATGCAAGTGTGTTGGCCTTGTGCCCTGCACCAAAGCACATTTTCCTCATGGAAAATCCCCCAGCTGCACCTTCCCCTTCTTCCAACTTAATCATCACTTAGTCACATCACCGAAAGGATCATGAGGTGTGTCCTTGCGAATAGCTAGCGCTTCAGTCCTGTGCGGAGTCTGTGGGCCCACTTTCAACTCCAGATCCTTCAATGGCTGAAAACTCTGTTTCAATAAGTGGTTTCAGAAATTTCTCAACCTTGGTGAGTCTTTGCTTCAGTTTCTGCTGCATGGACTCATACTCAGCCAGGATCCGAGCAAACCTTGTTTGCAGGAGGTCTACTGACCCTTCCATTCGGGTGACCTTCTCTTCAAGATCTTTGGGGTCATGGCCAGCATTCGCAATATTTACATCCAGCAGACCATCTTTCATCAAGATTTGCTTCCCCTTCTCTTCTAGCATACCTTTGGCATCCGGGTACTCAGTTAGAGCTTCCATGAGGTCGTCTTTTGAGAGACAGAACAGATCTGAGTAGCCAATGCTTTTAATATTGGCCGTTCTTCGATTGCCAGCTTTGCTGCCTTTAATGTTAAGGATGCTGATCTCCCCGAAGTAGCTGCCATCACTCAATACCACAAACTGAGTGATTCCATCATCTGCCACCACAGCGAGCTTGCCTTCCTTGATGATGTACATCTCTCGTCCAATATCGCCTTTCTTGCAAATGTAATCTCCAGGACTGTAGACTTGGGGTTGTAATTTCAAGACCAACTCCACCAACAGACCAGCCTCACAGTCGGCAAAAATGCGCACCTTTTTTAATGTGTCTAGGTGGACACTGATGGCGATCTCTGCTCTTAGTTTATCAGGTAGGTACTTCAAAACTTCTCTCTCATCAACTGTTTTTTTGTTGGTCCACAGATAGTCGAACCATTTAATAACTCTCTTTTCCATATCTTTGCTTACATTTCGAAAATGCATATATTGCTTGATGGCATCGATTCTTGCTTGAAATTCTGCTCTGGCTGCATTCATGTTGGAAATCATAGAACCTATGTTACCAACAATGGTAGCAAAAATTAATACTCCAATTAAGAAATCAACCACCACGAAGACATACTCAGAATCCCTCACAGGAGGTGGTGTTTCACCAATGGTGGTCAAAGTCAGTGTAGACCAGTAAAGGCTATAGACGTACTTTCTAGCCAAACGGCCAAATTCAGGATCATTAACATCAGGATAGACCCAGGTATCATTTCCAAATCCAATAGCTTTGGAAATAGAGTAGTATACACATGCGTTCCAGTGGATAATGATGACAATGTACATAACAAGGTTAGAAATCCTGAAGATGTTTGGGTAGTTAGTTCTTGTTTCTGTCCTTTGGAAGAACTCAAACATTCGAGAGATCCTTAAGAGTCTGTTTAATCTAATTTCTGGATAGTTCCACCCCAGGTTAAAATATAGCAGATCGGTTGGTACCACTGATAGAACATCAAGTTTAAATTGTAAGTTTGATTTATATTTCTCTATGAGTTTAAGCTCTTCCTTCACCAGCAGTCCTTGCTCTAGGTAACCTAAAATAGAAAAAAACCAATTTAATGCTTTTTTTTCCCTTTTTATGCTATTGTGAATTTTTCTGAAGTAACTCTCAATAAACTTCATTGAGCTCAAAACAAGAACTCACTTTCAGTAAATATGCTTTTAGCAATGTAGGAAGATGTGAGTCCCAATAAACATATAGCTATGGAACATACTATGTTGTAGAAATAAAAGGTAAAACTTTGTAAGTGAAAAATTATATGCAATGTATATATACAAATCTCTGTAGATCAGTATCTCCATCCAGGCAAAGCCACCACTTTTATGAACAGTGTTCTTGGAAAGTCTCCTGGGCCCTTAAGCACTGTGCTCATACCTCAGGCTACTCTCTCAACAAAACCCCAACCTCACCCTTGAAACTTGGGTACCATTGTGAATATTCTTTCCTTGTTCCTTCAATGTGAAGCATAAGTGTCCTTGGTGTTAGCATTCCTTAGACATATGGGATCTTCCCTTCTCCTACACGGCTACCATGGGCTGGTGAATTAAATCCAGAATTTCGGCACTCTGATACATTTCACTAAGAAAACCATTTGTTCTTCCTCTTCTACCGACTATCAGAGCTGCAAATAGGACACAACAACTGCAACGCTCTGTGTTCACTGGTCACATTTGCATGTGGAAGCAGTGTAGAAACAATGAGTTTATATCTACTTAATAAGAGTACTTGACGTAGGTAGTTATTAGAGTCTTCCCCCTCGTCAATAATGCCTCACCATGGATCACAAAATTGAGTTAAGGATGTGTGTTCTGTTTCTTACAAAATTTCTAATACAGCTCTGCTGGGTTCAATGACATTTCCCTCCATGCCTCTTTAATCTCTCTGTTAGGTAGCCTTTCCTCACAGAGCTGACAGACGATTTCTGCTCTCTTCTACTCCTTTCACCTGGCATAAACCCAATGAACAGGGTAACAGAGGAAAGCCACCAATCACATTCGAAAGGTTGCCTAGAAACATCCCTTCTGAATCCGTTGGAGCGAACTGAGCCTGTGGGTGGGAATATGGTATTTTTGCTTTCAACTGTGTTTTGTTCTCTAAAACAGGTTTTTGTGAGTTATTTTGAAGAATGCTTTCATTAGAAAATTTCAAATTATATTATAGATATCAAAGCATGAAATTGGAAAATGTCCCAAACTGAACATATTTACCTGTCCTGGTTCGTACAAACATATCGAGAAGATAGACTGTATCTGACAAGTAATCAAAAACGAGCCAATACGCTAGGTAATCAGACTGGAGTTCCTCAAAACATGCTCTGTAAAAAAAATGTATATAAATAAAATGGGAGCCATTTCAGTAAAAGTCCTCTTTGTGTAATTTTCTCAGGATGAGAAGTTTAAGACTAGGAGGGGTGCTTAGAAGCCATTGAATCTTTCCCAAATTGGAGCGGTTGGATTAGTTTTCTCACACTTCTGAATTTCAACATTCTTGCCATTATACTAGTTAGCTTTATGAAAACATCAAATAAGAATAAATGATCTAGAGCTAAAGTCAAATACACTGGGTCATATACATTAATAACCAGATTCATACTGACTGTCAGTGCCCAAAATGCTTCAGGAAATTATGCTTGGTTCTGGATGGCTGAACTGTTTACTGGCTAAAAGACAGGGAACCATAGAAATCATTTGGGAAACACACCTTGTTCTAAACCAATCTAGGTCCTTGATCTTTTTCTACTCTTGGCAAAATGTTTTCTCATAGGGAAAAAAAAAAATCCCCCAAAGTTCTAATTAAATGATTGGGCGATCAAAAATTTAAAAGTATCTTCTTCACTCCTCCATCCTGGTACTGGATTTCCAAGTATATTGGGAAGGAGAGCACCTAGTCCTGATCTTAGGAAAACACGTTGAGAACAACATAGAGTCTCTTTACAACCTGTGGTGAAGAAACGAGGGATGTCCTGAAGAGCTCTAGGCCAAACAGGTAAGTC